GGAGAGAGAGAGAGAGAGAGAGAGAGAGAGAGAGAGAGAGAGAGAGAGTTTCGTAGGTCGTAAAGGAACGAGGATCGATTAGAAATGAAGTTTCTTGAGTCACAATGGAACGCTGAGTGATGAAAAGGATAGAAATGAAGGAGTTTTGGAAGACATCGAATTATCGTAGACATCGCGAAATGGCTTGATTTGTATCAAGACGCTGAACGCTGCCTTTTCTTACTTTTTCTGAGTTTCCGAACTGGAATCAAGCTAATCGCGTTTGAGCCGAGCAACAAATCCTTCAGTCACTCGTCATTGCCTTAGGACGAGGCCTTCCTCTTTTATAGAATAATCACGAGCGAACCGAAGCGGCACCGCCCATAAGTTCGTTGACTTCCTCGGCCTTCGATTTGAAGCTCTTAAGCGTTCGCATATCCGCGTGTTCCATTATATTTTTTCAACGCTAAGAAAGAATCTTTGTAGGAATACGCGTAGCGAGCGAATTTTTCTCTCTGTCGATGATATATAATCCTCATCTTTCTTCTAATTTATTTATAATTTGCGAGCTCGTGGATGATTGTGAGATAGAGACCGCATCTGACTTGTGTGAGATGAACTCGAAATCGCGGGGAAAAAATTCAAATCTCGTTGCGAGTCCGGGCGCGTAACTTCGAGGACATCCTATAGAAGGCCAGGTGTAGTTTCGTTATATATTCGCCTGTCCAGCAGACCAATTTGCCACGTAAATGCCGTGCTGCAGGAATTATTCATCAAGCAAATTACTGATTATACGTAAAGGAAATACGTAATTTTTTCTAGTTGTGATCGCAGGAAAAGTTCATATATATTTGTATTTTGTAAAATAATATACGATCATATTTGTATTTTATAAAATAACATACGAATCTTTTGTATAAAGTTTGCACATCACAGTTTGCTATTCGAGTTAAAATTTCGGTTTTTTTTATTTTTGGCTCTTTACGACACAATACAGGAAAATTGGTCTGTTTGAAAGGTTTATAACGACGTTATATTCGGTATAGCATCACGTAGAGCGTGCACGTGACGGCAGTAATGACGATAAGTTAACATTGATTTCTAATTTATTGTATGCCTGCCCGAGAGATGATTTCATGTTCGCAAGTGTGTTTGTTGTTGACGCTAATAATTTTCTGCGTATCACGCGCACATCTGCCGACATAAAGTGGCACGGATGTGTGCAAAAAGCATGTGCACATACAAACTTTAGAGTCATGAATATTCGTCGAGAATACCGATGTATGCGCCGTCCCTCGTTTCTTCCTACCTTCCTAGATTTATCATCAGGATGTGTTCCACGACGTAAATTAATTTATGCGTGCATAATTTAGTGTAAATTAGAATTCTCTTTTAACAGACACTTAAAAGTTGCCAAAGTACAGATTTTGCATTATAAGTGAGTGTTGTACATACAGATTACACGATTGATTTTCTGAAAACCAGCCAAATCTTTTTGTACGTAACTCTGGTTAAAACGTATTTTTTGCAAAATATCTGCATTCAAGATGATTCTGTATAATATAGGATAGATAATAAAATCAAAATTCAAATCTGTTCTAAACTGAAAATACAGATGTTTAAACAAGAAATTTAAAAATATGCTACTTGTGTGTTCATTAATTTATTGTTTCAAGATGCATCAATCCAATTAATTTCTTTTTTTTTACAACTCTAACCAAACACAAAATTTTTTTTTTGCGCACTTTAATCAGTGCTGTACTTAATTTGAAAAGAAAAAGAAATTTTAACTATCTATTGCTTTCTCTTTTTAACATAAATGAGAAAGAAATGTTCTAAAATGAAATCATAACTGGCCTAAGATAAACTGAAATAAGAGGCCTATTTTTTTACTGCTGCACTAATTTATATTAAATTTTTGTCTTCCATCAAGTTTTAAATATATATCTATTTTTAAATAGATTGAAAAATTTGTGTTAAATTGAACACATTTCACGTTTCTCAAACCGTCCATTCAAATTTATGTGTCAATTTTTACACAAGATGGAATATGTTAAAAAATAACACAAATATTATATAAAAAATTAACACAAAAAATTTGTAAACGTAATTTGTAAACAAACTGTGGAAGTATATTTTTTTTTAGTAAAATTAACATTTATAATATGATAACATATTTTATTCATTTATCTTAGAATTTACATTTAAAAACACCGTATCTTTACGTTATCTGTTCACTTACTTATAAATTGTATTATTTGGATACTGAGAAGTATTGAATATCAATATAACACTAAAATATTCAACAACATAATAAAAATTCAACACAAAATTTTAACAAGAACTTGAAATTTCTATCATACAAAATGTTTTTTACGGTATATACATACAATGTGTGTCTAGTTTAGCTGTAAATAACAAGCCTTGTAAAATGTTATGCTCTTCAAATGGGTACAATTTCTGCATATAAAGATTGTATAATTTACGTATATTTTTATTTATGGAATTTATGAAGTAATGAAAAAATAGTACACGTTTTTGCTAAGAAAAAATCAATTTTGTATTCCTTAAAGAATCCACATGTTTGTTGCGGGGCACCCTGTATACAGCGCTCCAAATTTAGCGTCCGTTTAGAATTCTCAAAGCGTTTCAGTTGCGCGAGAAAAGTCTGTTCGAACCGAGATCTGAACCTTGAATGTATTCGAAGAACCATATACAGAGATTTCGAAGTTTTTCAAGGAAGTTTATCTCCTTCTGTGCCATCTTATTTTATTCCTTTTATAGGAAGTCGCGAAACGAGGGACGACAAAAGCAACGCATTATTTTTTCGGTTTCTCATTCATGGTGTGATACTTTGTTTATCTTCACCTTCTCTCCCTTGTATCTACGACGTTTTTCGTTCGCGTATCTGTATTGACACTATTTTCCAGCCGAAAATTTTGTATTTTTTCTGATACGAGAGATGAGAGAGGATGAGAGAGTATGAATGCGTGGGAGAGAGAGAAAGAGAGATGTGCGTCTGATAAAATTATATATACATACCTATATGATGAAAGTGTGTGACTATTTTAAAAGATTGATCAGTGAAAATACAAAGCCTGCTCTATCTTATGACAGTTTCATTCTTTTCCCTTGGATGAAAAGTAGCGTAATAGTTCCGTAACTGAGTCAGAATAGATAATTTCAACTTATTTATTTAAAATGCTGTTTAAAATGTTATACTGTAATTGTCAAATTAAGCAATCTCTTTAACAGTTTTTGTATCATATATATTTTTTGCATTATTATATATATATATATATATATATTCGTCATTTATCGCTGTTATTGTATTCTTTATTTTATATTTTTCCTTTCTTATTTTTCTACATGCATACAAAAAATATTGCACGCAACTAATAAGTACTTATTTCAAATATTTCGAAAGTTCATATATCCGCAAATCTATCATATATGTTCACTATAAGTATCAAATTTATTTAAAATATATTCTGAATCCTAGTAAATTTAATATACTTCAATCAAAATTATTAAATTAAAACAAATTCAATTTGCTTACATAAAATTGTTTCTTTGCTTAATTTTATAATATTCTTCAAAGAAAATAAATTCTTTTTGTACATAACAATGAGTTTTTCTAAAATTTGTAATAAATATATATCTCAAGACTATTTCAAGAAAATATTCTTGGTTAAAGATAACTGTTATTTAAAAGGAACAAAATAAATTGAGCAATCACTTTTTTTAGTAACCGGATGATATTTTTGTGTATATGTAACTGAAAATCACACGCTTGTTTGTTTCTTCAAGTTGATTATAAATATACAATATGAGACATTTTCTCTTAACGGTCGAGAGAAGTAAATTTAAAAACAGGCAAATTTAAATGCACGCTATCGATGCCATGCTGTCGCTATTTTTTGCTCCATTACGGTAAACTTTTTTGTGCGAATTTACGCGCAACTTAAGGAAATTCGCGACCGTGGGTAATACCAATGACCTGCTAGAAACAACATTCGCCATCATACGCAGCTGTTGTCACGTTCACTGCCAAATTCCTACGAATTGTTTACATTTGACGCATACGATTTAGCTATTATCTGGGAATTCCCCGCGTCGAATAAGCGGCTAGGAAAGAAAACATTCTTATTCTGATGAAGAAAATTCTCGTATTAATTCATGATATAATATTTTCAAGAATTTTCGTATATTAAATTCATGAATGTTTCTGAAAAATTGTATAAAGAATTCTAGGAGAAATTTTTGCCTACAGAGTAGTTACCACAAATTGTTGATATTTCTCGATAATGTTGTGACATTATCGCTATAAAAAGATGTTGATACAAATCGGTATAAAAATTACAATTGTAAATGAATGAAGAAATAAAATATTCTCTTTTTGCATACTTCGGTTTAACTCAGAAGAACCAGAATATAATTTCAGCTCCTAGAAAAAAAATACATTTCGGTTGTTGCTATCCTCCTCAAAGCGTTAATATTTTATCGAATACAATTCAGCTCCTCATCGATTAATTATTAACGCAATGGAAATAAATTCTTTTAAAATAATTAATTAACGTATTACATTTGTATGTATTTAAAAAATGTCGCCAGGTATTTTTCTTTTATATCTTTAAGTTCAAAATTATATTTATCTTAGGATGCAGATCAGGTGGCGGAGTTTCACGATATCAGATAAAATTTTGCGATCGCGAATCTTTTGTCGCAACGATAGATCCGCTTCGCGGCGGAGAACGAGCGGAACGTTCCGCGACTTGCGCGGAAACTTGGCACGGCAGAAGCACGTACGCTGCGCCAAAAATAGCGATCGGCGACGGGTTAAACTGTTAGCAAGAGAACGAGAAATTTTTGCGTCGCGTGCAACGGGAAATCCCGTTGAGAGTGCGCCGAATCGCACTTGTCACCAGCGCGAGATAATATATCTC